AGGAAATTTTGATCAATTCACCTCGTAGCGGTAGGGAAATACCTGCGGGGCTGTGGAATGACAATATCAGCTACTTTTAAGACCGTTCAGAGCACATTCGAAATGTACATCAAAAAGTTTTTTAAGGGTCCGGCCGGGACCCCCCTCCCCCACCCTATGTCGAATTAAGGCTCCAACCGTTTCGTTTCCGTTTGCCATTCTGGACAAACAGAACGGAAACGGATAGGAAACCGTTTGAAACGGTTGCAAACGGTTTCTGAACGGTTGAATTGCTGACACCGTTTTGCAGTGGTCAGGGTGGTCTGGTTGTCTCCAGGATGGTGTAGTAGGTTGGTGGTAGGTAACAGAATCTGTTCAGGAGGCATTAGAGTGCGTCCCAGGCCATTTGTGAGGTTCATCAGAAATTCACCCGTGCGCATCAATGCGGCGAAGCGGTTGCCGACCATTCTGTGCTCAATTTCAGAGCCGCTGAATTTGCCAATGCCCCCAAGAGGCTGCTGGACACAGATGTGAGGGCAGGTGCGAGTGCCCCGAGTGGAACCAGGAAGAGATTCAACTGATTTCGAACCCCCACAGCTAGGCCAACGGAAACCGTTTCCAAACCGTTTGCCAAACTGTTTCCCCAGGCAGACAAACAAAACGGAAATAAAAACCGTTTTTCTGGAACAAACGGTTTGGAAACGGAAAAGGTTGGAGCCTTATGTCGAATTTTCGGCCGTTGATTCCCCCTTGAATGGGCCTGGAACAAGATACAATATTTGTCCGGGAATGTCTGACAATGCGAACGTATGTACAAGAAAAAGGTGGAGAGATGACTCGGATAGGGATTATATAATGCAGAGCCTGAAGGTAGAACGAGTGATGAGCAAAGCGGAATCATGGAAAGCAAGCCTTCGGTTTATTTGTTCCTGTGTGCCAGCACTCACGCTTCTTGCCCACTGCCCACATGGACCAAAGTGACCCTCCTGCGCCTCCTCAGGCTGGAACACGACACGACACCCTCCTGCATTCCAATGAGCCCCCCGATTCCTCGGAGATTCCATTCATCCAGTCCACTTCATCTCGCATCGACGCGCGTCTGGCCATCCTCGACGAAGAGATCGCTCGCCTGAAGCAGTTGGCTGCAGAGCGTGCTGTACTCGTTTCATATGGCGCGCAGAGCAAAGCAGCACTCTCCCCGATGCGTCGGATGCCCACCGAGCTCCTCATCGAGATTTTCGTGCTCACCGTTCCTTCCTTCAAGTCGGACGGGCTCTGGGCGTGTACTCACAGCATGAGGGTTAGTCCGTGGGTTTTGACTCGTGTCTGCAGTCGTTGGAGAGCTGTAGCCATCTCTACACCGGCGCTGTGGTCCCAGCTCGTGCTGTGCTTTTGTCGCTTCCATTCTCAGCCTTTGGCGGCCATCGAGGCACAGATTGAGCGGGCGAATGGGCTACGTATCTACTTCGGGTCTAAGCGCTACGACGATCTCCACCGAGCGCTCTCAAAATACTTCGGAGAGGACGCCTCCGACCGAGCCCTGGAAAAGCACATCGTTCGCTCTCAGACAAAGATATTCCAATACCTCACCAAGTTTTCTCCGCGTTGGGAAGAACTAAACCTGCTCGTCACCCCAAAGCTGCTTCCCCTCCTTCCGCTCATTCGTGACCGACTTCCGTTCTTGCGGAGGTTGTGGCTGGAATGGGATAGTGACGACATGGATTGGGATGCGGAGAAGAAGCCATTCGACTACTTTCAGACCGCACATTGGTTGGTCCATTTGGGCGTGAACCGCGATGTTGGCATTCGCGTCGGCGAACCTTTGCCAATTACAATTATCATTCCGCCAAATCAACTCACCCGTTACTGCGCCGACGCATCCTGGGCTACGCATCGAGGCATTCTGAGTGCAAGCCCTACTCTTATGGAAGCCTATGTCAACATCATTGCCTCGGATAGGCCTGACCCGTGGCCAGCACCTGGCGAGACCTTCTATCTACCCCAGCTCCATCGCCTCTATATCTCGGACTCGAAACCCCTCCCTAACTTTCAAGTTTCCGTGCTCGAGCAGTTGACCCTCGGAATGGGTGCGCAGCGCCACGGTAGGCGTAAAAGGGACCGTGAGGTGGTGCGAGGGCTCGATCGTTTCATCGCCAACACCCCGACCATTCGAAAGCTCGGCTTCATGGGTGGGGCGGATGCGTTTTTCGTCAGCACCATTCTGAAGAAATTTCCCCATATCGATGAGCTGGCTATCATATTCGGGTGGACCTGGGAAGATACACGCATCGACAGCGACGAGTCTGGTGGGGACGGAGAATGGGACCCCGATGATGCTACGCATTGGTTTATATCATCCCTCCTCAGCCCTAGTTTCAGCGACCCGCGCGACACTGTCCTGTGCCCGCGGCTCTCTCGTATTCATCTGGGGATTGCCAGAGGCTCACAAGCTATCCTCTCGGCCTGCCTCAAAGTGTTGGAATCTCGATGGAATATGCCGGATCGCGCGCTCGAAGCTGCCACAGTTGTGCAGCCGGGTGTACCCAGCCCAAGCGGCGAGATGCAGAATCGGATAGACGCCCTTCGCGCGGATGGGTTGCAGCTCTCTGTATCGAACGAGGGCACGCAAGTGATGAAGACGATGGCTTCTTGGATGTGCACCAGCGAGTGGAACGAGCACAAAGTACCGTTTAGAGACCTTGAGGATATGTACTGATTGAAAGTTGTACTTGCTGTTGTCGGCACAGAGTTTGAATTTCTTGTTAACGTTGTTCTCTTGGCACTTGCACCTCGTACCAATTGAGACGGACTTTCGGGATTCAGATTCAAGAACGCCGCGCCCAGCACAATAAGTATAAGTACTTAGTCGAGGCGAACGAATGTACAAGAACGTGGGCAGATAATATCCTTAGAGGAAGGCACTGAATCTGAGAATAAGAATAAAAAGCCAAAGAGCCTGGAATCATGGTAGCACTTGAACTTGAAGCAGCAAGCAGTCGGTTTGTTCGTGTTTCACACTTCTTACCCACGAACCACATGGACCAATCTCCTGCACCTCCTCAGGCCGGAACACGACATTACATCCTCCTGCATTCCAATGAGCCCCCCGATAGCTCGGATATCCCCTTCATCCAGTCCACTTCATCTCGGATTGGCGCGCGTCTGGCCGTCCTCGACGAAGAACTCGCGCGCTTGTCGCAACTCGCTGCGGAGCGTGCTGCACTCCTTGCGTACGATACGCAGAACAAAGCGGTTCTCTCGCCGGTGCGGCGGGTCCCAAACGAGATCCTCTACGAGATCTTCCTGCGCACCCTTCCTTCCGTCGAGTCGGACGGGTTCTGGGCCTGTACTTTTAGCATGAAGCCTATCAGGGAAAACCTCCCTCGCAATTTTGTACAAATTGTTGAGAAATTATCTTTGGGTCGAGACAATTTTGAACATTCATGCAACTTTGTAACATTTGATACAAAGATATTACAAATGTACTCACTGGAACATCACCACTTTTTCTGGGCTAGTTTCAGCCTGAATCACCAACAGCCTTCACAGGATCATGCTTGGTGGATCAATGCTCCTTGCCAACAACTCTGGTCCTAACACTGCTGAGCTGGATAATTATCACAAATTATCAGATTTTGTGTACGCCGGGAAAAATTATCACAAATTATCACAAATTGTGTACACTGGCAGGATTTGGTGTATTGGATTTTGTGATTTTGTCACTGGTCTGAGTGCATTTGGGGTGCTTGTGCCTAGCTACACATTTAGAAGTTTGCAGGTTGAAAGCAACTGGGTTATGTAGTTGTTATGTAGTCATGCCTCAACTTCTTTAAGTCAATAAGGCACTGAATGGTGCAACCACTATGTATCTGCCATCAGTCCGACCTTTTCTACCTCCCACTTAGTCTACCGGTTTTGAATGTCTTCCTTTGTTTTCTGCCTCATCCCGAGGTCACCAGTTCAAATCCCACTCTGAGCATTATTTAAATGTAAATTACTATCACTTGTATTAGATCTTAATTCCATCACTTCCTTCAGATAAGCGCACTCCGTCCAGTACATAGTCAGTTACAAAGCCACAGGAATAAACAGCAAGCAAGAGGGTGCAGGAAAAGCTCCCTTGAGGCCGGTGTGTCCCTTTTGCTCTAACTATGCTTTCAATTGCTTCAGAATGTTCAGTAACTGGATGAAAAGGGCCCACACATGGGTGAAATCCCTGAGATAATTTGTGCAAAAATGTTGTAAATTTCTCTGGGGAGGTGACACTTTGCAACTTTGTTGACATTCCCGATAATTGGCACCATTTTGTAGTAAAATGTTGCAAATTACCTTGGGGTGCTTTTCCTGATGTCAGAAGAGCCCATGGGTTTTGACGCACGTCTGCAGCCGTTGGCGGGCAGTATCCATTTCCACGCCCTCGCTGTAGTCCAAGCTCGTGCCGTGCTACTATGGCCTCCATTGTCAACCTTTGTCGGCTATCGAGGCACAAATTCAGCGCGCAGCAATGCTACGCGTCCAATTTCATGCGTCGATGCACCACCCGTACGGACGTCGGAGGGAAACAGGCAGAGAGTGTCCTTGAATCTCAGATGGAGATATTCCAGTACCTCGTCCTGTCTAGACTCGTAACCAGTCTGTCTATGATTAGGAAATCGGTGTGTTAAGCCAATGATCAACGAGATCGACTGGTCTGTCTATCGACAATCATAGACAGACCAGGTTCTGGTCTAAACGAAGCATCGGAGCCAGGAATTTTCCATCCTGCATGGTAAGTACGCAGCAAATAAGTACTCAGCTGGCTGTTGAATACTTACCTATCCCCGCTTCGCCGGCGATTTGGACTGAACCCGACGTCGACGGGAAAAAAATCCAGTACTTAATTCAGGTTGAATTTTCGTAGGCGCGCATTCCTCAACTCCTAGGCCTTTTCTGCCTTGGAAATGGATTGAAATGTCGCCCTCTGCAGAAGGCCCTTACGAAAGCAACGAGCCTGGGGTGTCCCTGCTGCAGTCCTGTTTGACGGCCGCCTGGCGAAATGGCATCGCGTCTGACTACGATGCGCAGCAGCTCACAGAGCAGATAATCAGGAGATTGCAGGTTCGACCCCTGCGGTGGTCATTTTGTCCTCCGACTCGCTCGAGTTTTTGTCCACAATCCGTGAATTTGCCAGTTGCGGCATACTCAGTCGGCACTTCCATCATCGATACTCCGCCAACTCTTACTTTTGGTCGCTGGCAACTTTTGATCGCGAGAGGCCGACGTTCCCCATGTCCCATTTGTTAACGCTTGCCAAGTCGCCAAGCTGAATACCAAATTTCCACAATGCATGTGGATTCGTAGCTCGTTAGAATTTAAAGTTTCCACCGATCGGAGATGTCCCACCCACAATCAAGGGGATACCCATCACCTTGTAAGAGAGAATGGAAAGCTGGCGGCGGAAAAAATGAGTCCTTTGCCACCAGGAAGAAAATCATAATGACCACCGCAGGGGTCGAACCTGCAATCTCCTGATAACAATCCAATGGTAATGCATCGTAGTCAGACGCGATGCCATTTCGCCAGGCGGCCATTGATAAGCATCCGCGCTCAGAGATAATCCCGTGCCCCGTGATCTAATATCTTCGGCATTAAGTCAGCGGCACCTTGTTTCTTTCGAAAATTCACCTGCCAGCAAGTGCAAGCTCCAATCAAGACCGGCCAAGGTGGCTCAAAGTTCAATGTCATTTCGCCGCCACCGACATCGAGCTTGAGTCCGATCAAATTCGATTGATTTGATCAATGATTGACCATTGACATTCTCGGAAACACGATCTCCAGCGCCCTCGACTCACCTCGTGTTGGATGCGCCCCCTTCCCTCCTTTCGCGATCGTTCGGTCCGCCCTGCATTCTCTGTGGCTCGCTGGCGTGTGTGTCTCTGGGTTTCTCTAAAGGGTTACAGTGGCACGACTTTTCGACCTCACAGAATCAACCTTCAGGTTGAGGAGCGCTGGATTCCCTAATGCACTCCGTTCAAAGTTCGTCTCGAAACGGCTTTTGGTTTACTCCCAAGCAATGTCGGACAAGGGAACTTTCAAACGCCCTCGCTCTCAATTCACCGCAATCTCGCTCGGAGTCTCTGACCCGTGCGTTTCAAATGGAGACCCGAGGTACATTTCACAACCCCAACTTCGAGTCTACGGAAGATTTTTTTCCTCACGAGGCGACATCCGCGACGGTCCGCGCCGTTGTATCCCCTCGTTTCGACAGCTGTCGCCGTCAAAGCGCCCTACATATGCACCGAGATCCGAAGTCCGCGCGTGAACAAGCGCCACTCCGGGCCATAAATCCCACCTCCCCGACAACGGACCTTGCCCACGATGTTATCCTACATCTCCAGCGCCCTGATTTTCGTGCTCGCGTTGCTGTTCCTCATCCGCGCCCGGAACCACAAAAGCTCGAAGCTTCCTCTTCCTCCTGGCCCACGCAAACGATTTATTGTCGGAAATCTATTCGACATTCCCTCCTCTTTCCCGTGGGAGACCTACATGGAATGGAGTCGGCGCTACGGTGCGTCGCTTTTCACTCAACTCCAAAGTTCGTCCAAGGCTAATTTGAATCGTAGACTCAGATATCATTCATCTAAAAGCAGCCGGGCAGTCGATGATCATATTATCCTCGATGCAAGCTGCAGTAGATCTGCTCGAGAGGAGGTCGGCGATTTATTCGGACAGGTGCGAGAATCGTGTGCGTACGGGCCTGGTTTAGGATTTATTGTGCTTTTCTCCAGACCGCAGCTCACCATGGCAAACGAATTAATGGGGTGGGACTTTCACCTTGGCAAGAACACCTCGTCTGAAGTACGCCACTATGTAGCTGATTTGATCCTGACAGCATTCATGCGATACGGCGAACAATGGTCAGTAGTTTGCGCTTCATCACCTCGCAGGCTCTTTAACTGTTTTCTTACATGTCAGGCGCGCCCACCGCCGTTTATTCCAGAACACGTTCCAAGCCGACGCCATAAAGAAATTTCACTCGACGGAACTCTTGTCGGCACACCTTCTACTGCGCCGCATCCTGGACGATCCCGAGAACGTGTTGCTTCATCTCCGACAGTGTGTATTAAACCAGCCTCTCTCTTCTGCTGTGACACCATCATAAACGGATGTCAGGATGGCTGCAGAGATCGTCATGTCCGCGGCATACGGCATAGACGTCCTCCCAGTGAACGATCCGTACGTCGACCTGGCGGAAGCAGCTACAGATCCCATGACCCGAGCTGTCGTTCCCGGGGCGTTTCTCGTCGTAGGTTACTTTCATTTTTCAGCCAAGATTATAATAAATGAATGGCTTCAACGTAGGACTTGATTCCGCTGCTCAGGTACATACCAGAGTGGTTCCCGGGCGCTGGGTTCAAGCGCAAAGCCCGAGAGTGGAAGACTTTGGCGCAGAAGATGCAGGAGGTGCCTTTTGAAGAGACGAAACGGCGCATCGTAAGTCTCACTGCTATTCAATTGCCCTGATTTGACCATTCTTTTCTTTCCTAGGCTGAATCCAGCGCCCCGCACTCATTCGTCTCCGAAGCCCTCGACAACCTCGACTCCAAGGATGGGGAGAGCTCGAGCCAGGATCGAGAATATTGGGAGAGGGTTATCAAGGCGACAGCAGGGACGATGTACAGCGCCGGTACCGACACCACGCTCTCCGCGCTAGCCACGTTCATCCTTGCCATGCTCGCCAACCCCGAGGCGCAGAAGAAGGCGCAGATGGAAATCGATTCGATCATGGCGGGCAAACATGCTGGCGGTGGACAGGGTCTGCCTTCGTTTGACGACGAGGCTAATTTACCGTATGTTTCGGCGTTGGTGAGGGAGGTGCTGAGGTGGAGGCCGGTGGCTCCGCTTGGTTGGTTTTCTCGTTATTTATCGTCAGACAGGATATGATATGGTTCACCTAGGTTTCCCCCACGTACTATCTTCTGCGGAAGATGTATACCGTGGCTACAGAATTCCTGCAGGATCGGTTGTCATCTCCAATCTATGGTAAGTATATCCGGTACGCGTAGGCCGGTGGGTTGACTGACTGACTCTTAGGGCTATCTTCCACGACGAGGTATCATTCTTCCGGCACTGCACGTCTCCTCAAAAAGCTCCCTGATCATGACCAATCCCAGGCCGTCTTCCCGCACGCATATGAATTCAAACCGGAACGCTTCCTCCTGGATCCCAATCTCGCAAAATACGCGGACGCTGCGTTTGGGTTCGGAAGGAGGTGTGTTTTTCGTTTAGCTTTGCATTGCATCAACGTGCCTCTGAAAACTGCCAGAATCTGCCCCGCTCGACACTTGGCATTCTCCACAATCTGGATCGCCGTAGCTTCCATCCTCGCTACATTCGACATCACCAAACCTATAGGGGACGACGGGCAGGTCATCGAGCCCACTCACGAGTATAGTGGAACTGCTATCAACTTGTTGAGTATTTTGGTTGAATTTTGTGGTTGAAAAAAGCTGATCCGATTATAGCATGCCGCTGCCCTTCAAATGCTCGATTAAGCCCCGGTCTAAGGAGGTAGTTTCCTTGATTCAGGCACTATGAACGGGTTGCTCTTTCTCCTTCGTTAGATCGAGTCCATACTGACTACAAGCAATGTTCCATGACAGTTCCACTCTGACTGCCAGGGGCGACGATTGTTCGCGCCACCTTTTCTAGGCCAACGTCGGATCGCATTGAATCGAAGGAACGTACCAGACTTGGGAGTTGAACAAAAAGACGGTTGAACTTTGTACATATGTGGCCATGATCTGATCACTTCTGACCACCTTCTTCCCGAGCGGCAAGCCGAAGTCGATGCACATACGCTGAAATTGAGCACAGAAAAATAACAACGACCCCAGCTAGACGGCGACTTCATCATCGATCGCCTGAACAAGAGCTGCTGCTTCCTTCGACCGAGGCTTGATACAACACTTGAACGGCAGCGGCGTGCTATAACTCTCCATCAACTGCACGTTTCATAGTGGAATGCAGAAGTACGAACATATTGATAGCACCCGCCGTATACTCATGGGTGGGCTCGATTATACTCCCATCCTCCGCAATGGGTTTGGTGATGTCGAAAACAGCGAGGATGGAGGCGAAGGTGATGAACAGCGTCGAGGCGGCCATGTGTCTTGCTGGACAGATTCTAACAACACGACTCTCAGTCAGTCGTCAATTCGGCTGATACCAGAACGCACCTTCGACCGAATCCGAACGCAGGGTGGGAGCTTGCGGGGCCGGGGTTCAGGTCACCCTCCAGGTAGCGTTCCGGTTTGAATTTGTATGGGTCTGGGTAAATCGTCTACTATCCGTTAGGCAGGACTGGGAGCTTGCTCTGAGATCACCTCGTCGTAGAACATGGCCCTAAAACATGTGGTTATTGCAGCCACAAAGAACTCCTCACATACCAGAGATTACTAATGACAATCGAGCCTTTCGGGATTCTATACCCCCGATATTCGTCCTCCTCCGTGGAAAGATGCGGGAATCCAAGCGGCGCTACAGGTCTCCATCTCAACACCTCCTTCACCAGTGCCGAAACGTACAGCAGAGCGGCTTCATCGCCAAAGTCCGGCAACCGTCCCGAATTGCCAAGGACCAAGTCGATTTCGGATTGCGCCTTTCTCTGAACCTCGGGATGTTCGAGCATAGCTAGTACGAATGTGCCTAGTGCTGAAAGTGTCGTGTCGGCACCGGCGCTGTACATCGACCCGGCTGTCGCTTTGATTAGGCTTTCTTGGTACTCTCGATCCTGAGTATTATCGTCCAGATCGTTGAGGGCATCCGCGACGAATGAGTGCGAGGCGCGGCCTTCACTCTGAAGCAATGAGTGATTAAAGCATTCGAGTTTTGGCCTCCACTCACAAGCCTGCGCTTAGTCTCGTCGAACGGCAAGTCTTGCATGTTCTGTGCTAGAATTTTCCACTCCTTGGCTTTCCGGTGAAACCCGGCTCCGGGGAACCACGCCGGTACGAATTTCAGAACCGGGATCGCGTCGACGAGGAAGGCGCCTGGGACGACTGCGCGGGTGAGGGACCTCGTACCTGCTTCGGCAAGCTGCACGTAGGGATCATCTGCGGGGAGGATGTCGATACCGT